AAAAAATTAAATTTTTACAAAAAACAATATTTTGCAAAATAAAATATTGGCAACACTTCAGTGTAGTTTTGCATTATTTTATAATAAACTAAAATATTTTTACTTGCCGCGTGCGTACTTTAACCGTTAGATTACTCCCTAAATACTTGAAATACTTGTATTTGTTGTTCTTTTAACTCTTTTACACTATTGCACATGCATTTTGCTCTTTGTTTGCATGTACTTTAACGTCTTATTTAATTTATTTGTATTATTATTTATTATCATATAGTTATTTTTTTTGTATTTTTTTTTTTTAATTTTCAATTAATATTTTGTTTTTGTAATTCATTATTTAATCATTAATTATTACTTTTGCTGAATTGATATTACAAAATTGCGTCTTTTCAAATTCCATACGATTTACAACTGAAGTCGACTAACAACTTTACACATTTACTTATTATAAATCTACACTTTATCGTTATTTAGAATATTTTTTTGCAATTTCTTAAAATTAATATTTTCATAAGTATAATTACATATATAAAAAGTAATCTGTTAATAATCGAGCACGAATGGGTCGTAGTCAGTGCGAGTCAAGGTAAAAGCTTCTTGTAGAATTAAATGAACACACAATAAGCGCAAACTGAGAGTTTTAGAATTCATCAACAACCGAATATTTAGCAAAAGGTTGTGTCGCACGGCTTAATTATATGTATGTACATATTTTCCAACAAAAGTTAGAAAGTACTGTTACAGACAGAAAAAGGTAACTGTTGTGGAACGATAGTCAGCTTAAAGTCTCCACAGAAGCTTCAAGGAATAGTATTGTATTTCATTTGGACCGTTTTTATTAAACATCGACAAATCGTTTGATGAGTAGCGAATCGAAGAAACAACTCGCAAGAATTATTTATTCTACCACAATTGGTATGTGAAAGATAACACGACATTAAAGTAGCAGTAGATTTAGTATTCCGGAGGGCAGCCTCCATCAAAGAAATGAACATCCACTCAGATAGCGGCGCCGCGATACTAGTCTAGACTCGCTATCAATGACATCAAGTGTCTTTGTGATAAGAGTGGTATGGTGGCCAGGACACAGCGGGAATGTAAATTAAACGCCTGTGCAAATTCGCTTGAGCACCCGTCAAAGATGGATAACAGCAAAGTGAAAATACGAAATATTTTACAGTTTTTCGTCAACGAAATAAATCACTGCAAATGGTGGAAAATGTGAGCAGTGCTTATGGTTCTCATACTGTAACAGCTAATCATGCGCAATTTTGGTTGCGCCTATTCCGTTCTGTTGTCGAGTACAACCATCCGAGTACAACCATCCTGTAAATAATGTTTTGGTTGCCCAGTTGCTATATTGTACTTGAAGAGTAAAAAGTAAAAGATGCGCCATGTATGATTGCCATACGACTCAACACAAAATTGAGAGTCCGAACTCCCGTCTGTGTATCGCAAGAAAATCAATATACTTCCGAAGCGGGCGGGTACTGGTGACAAAAAGTAGGTCAACTACGATAATATGCTATGTGCTTTTAAGCACCGTGGAGTAAGGCTATCGCCGGCGGGTACTCATGTAAAAAATAAAAAAAACACAACAACAACTGGTTTACCGTCAGCAATTGGATCGTTTGAAGGAAATTATTGCTCAGCAGCGACCAGCTTTGGTCGATAGAAATTAAATTGAATTTCATCAGGATACAACTAGCCCACAAACATTGGCAGTGACTTGTTAACAGTTCCATAGGAGACTTTGCTGGTGAGAAATTCGAAATAGAAATAGAATTAACTATATAAAATACCTTCATGGTATTAGTAGATGACTTATTTGAAGATTTAGATTGTTAAAACATAACTAGGTAACAGAAAATCTTGCTTAATATTTTACTCGCAGCATGCTTACTGAGAGTTGAAAACGCATATTAAACTCTCTCTCTCATTTACGAAATGCTCTCGTCGTGTTGTTAACATCACGATTATGTCATTGAACCATGCATCCTTATAATTAATCAAAGAAAATGTTCTGTAGAAGACTTTCAAATTTTAGCGCTATCCCTTGCTCATGAACATCTGTCGCTGAGAGATACTTGCAATTGTTAAAAAGAAAGAGCGAAGTTTTGCCGCGTAGCCGCAGGAGTAATATTGATAATGAGACACGGCTTTAAAGATCGAACAACTGGAGTTTTTTTAGGTGCTCAAATTACAGTTATGCGTAATAAAAATGCAGCTCAACAACGGTATGAAATTTGAAAAAAAAAAAAATAAAATAAATTTTGAGTCCTATATTTGTCCTGTATTCATAGTCAATTTATTGGTGCATGTGTGTACGTATGAGTAAAAGTTTAGTTATTTTTAGTGTGTGTGTGTGTTGTGGTTTTGGGGCTTTTAGGTTTTCGATTTTTGCTTCGTCGAACAGTTCAAAATCAATGTGCGCTTTAACTTAGCCTTACGAGAACTGCAATGCTGCTTGTTTTAGGGGCTTTACTTTATGTTTGCTTGCTGTTGTTTTTGTAAATTAACTGTACTGCATTTACTGTACCCTATACTATGTGATTTATTTAATTTTTGTTTTACTTGCTTGCTTTTTTCGAATATAATTGTTTTTATGCATATTATTATTATTTTTGTTTTGGTATTTTATTGACTAATACAAATTCATTTTATGCATACCTTACGCTAAGGGTTCTCACAATAATCACCTATTTCTTTTGCTTGCCTTAATTAATTTAATTATTTTTAATTAAAATAGTCGTTGTGTCACAATTTCGCATTTACTTTTTTTTGTTTTGCTTTTACTTATATGCTCGAGTGCTTTTTGCTTGGTTTTTGTTTTTTAAATTATTAAAGTATAACTGTTTATTTTTCATTTTTATTTTAGTTTTAATTTTAGTTGCGTTTCGTCAAGCAGTCGTCCGCGTCGATTTTGCGCACTGCACGCCTGCTGATCTCATGTTCCGGGCAAATATTTGCAAGCTTTTATCTGTGTTTACCGTTATTTTATGTCTTTCTGTGTGTGTGTGTGTGTGTGTGTATAGTGTAGTGTGTATGTGTGTTTGTCTACCGTAGAAAAGAGCGTTCGCAGCCACGCCCCCAACAACTCACACAGCACTTTGCAACTCACTATTTGGTTTGTGCATACGGAATTTGGCATTTAATTGGGTGGTGTTGCCACACTTTTGCATTTCTTATACATATATTACTCAACTTCTATTGTTTTTGCATACATTCGCATATTTTGTTTTTGGTTTTCTGTTTTACAGTTAGATTTTGTTTTGTTTGGCAGTGAACAAAGTAAATAATTTATGTCTGCTTATGCTTCTAGGTTCTTACACTCAATTCAAATAACGAGATAACACGCCACACCCACTCGAGTATTGTGTACATTAGAAGACACGTTTCTTCTTCTTTTTATAGTTCTCTTTCTATTTTTCAGTACTTATCTACAGCTTGCTGCACTTTATTGCTTTTCAAGATTCAATACATATTCACATATGCATGTATGTTTGTTTTTGTATTTTCTAATGACAGCCGCTCACCGCACGCCATACGCTTGACGCCTGCTGCTTGATTGCGAAGAACAAGCTTGATTGTGTAACACCAAGGAACGCTTATTGATTGCTTAAGTTCGAGTACATGCCATGGATGAGTGAAGATTGGTCGCGCGAGTGCGGACTTCGGCCATAAAACGTGCTGGAAGTCGTTAGATCTGGAACTAGATCACATAACGGTAGAGCAGGAACACTTTCAAAATCAGTATGAAAAAAAATCAAAGCTCATTGGCCGCGCAGTTACTCCTTATGTTTATGTCAACCGCCACTTCGGAAGTCAATAAATCTAGAACTCTCACCACGTAACTATGGTACGCGCTCAGTTTGAAAATCAGCACAAAAGTAAGTGAAAGCTTCTCGAAAGCTCCATTATACTTCGTGCTACAGCTGCCGCGGCTTCAATTTCCAGCCTCGTCCAAACTAAAGGCGCGTCGGTTGAGCGCCACGACCACATACCGTTTGCCGAAGTAGGGAGAATCTGCACAAAATAGAGACACGTATACACATAGCAAACTTTTACAAAATACTACGCGCTAGCAAAGCGTCGTTCAAACGATCCAAGTGTGCTGCTGGATGTGTGCTGACAAACGATCGATGTACGTTTGCGGTGTACATATGTAAAACGGAAACTGCTCAGCGCAAATCGATCGGTTGGGTCGTTCGATCGGCTAGCTCACTTCTTGCGCAGGAATTCGGTATATTTGCGTGCACGCTTGCGCACCTTTTTGAAAGCATTGCTGATCTTAAAGCTTTCGGTGAAATGCTGATGTTGATGATGATGATATTGCTGGTGATTGTGATAATGATGATGTGAACCGCTATTGGGTGAGTGCTGTTGATCGGCGCCATGCGCCTGATAATGAAAATATGGATGATGTGCGTTCACATAGGAAGCGGCCGCCGGATTGATGGAGGCCGACAAACATGGTGAGGAGGCTGGCGATGCCGGCGATAGTGGTGAACGTGGTGTTGGTGAGAATTGACAGCTGCCACGACACGATATCAAATTGTGATCGGAAGCCGCATCGAATGATTCGAAAGAGACACCAGTCGGTACAGGCGATTGCAGTAGGGATGAGTGATGATCATCGCTTGTGGCGGTGATCGTTGGCGAGCCACAAGTGGCGCTAGAGCAACCACCAATTGCGCCTTCCTCCTCGGCAGCAGCAACACTACCGACCATGCTAGTGAAGTCTTTGGGTAGCTCACCAATGCCTAGCGGCTTGTCAAACTGTGAGTTTGCCGACATGTTTGTGTAGTCGTAACTTGGGTAGGTGTATGGCAAGTAGCCGCTGTGATGCGCTTCGCTTGAGACCGCTACTGTATCACCACCGCGTGTGGTGTTAATGAATTTGACTTCGTTGGCGTTGCGTTCGCTGTAGTTGCCGAAGACGATATTAATATTATTCGTGCTAGACGAGAGGTTGATGTTGGTCGGTGAAAGCGGGGTGCTGCTGCATGAGGATGCGGCACAAGCTGTGGCGCCCTCAGATTCGCCAATGGCTGTGCCAGCAGCAGCGTTAGAGTTCTGATTTAGATTTGTCTCTTTGCTGGAGTTACGTCGAAAGCAGAATTCATAGCCGCGTACGCTGTCACCACCCTCCGAGGAGGCAGCTCCGGTATTATTGTTGGCGAAATTGTTTTTATACTGGAATTCCAAGGCATTGCTTGGTTGGAATGGATAGTTTTTAGAATTGTTCAACACATCGTTGGACTGTTGATTGCCCTTCGAGAGATATTGATGTATGTCTTCGCTGGTGATCTGCAGATCTTGATCGAGGTAGGTGTTACATTGGATGTAGTTATTGCAACAGTTATTGTAGGAGTCTGCCTCCTGATGGAAAAGCACCGTGGTTGATGTCTCCTCAAAATCACAGTTCATTGGGCTTTCGCGACATTTGCGCGCCGCCGCTGCTGCCGAAGTGCTTGGGCGCTCATCGTGCGTGTGTTTGCGGCTGCTGTGCTGCATGGTGTACGAACGATGCTCGCTGCGATGTTCGCTGCGGTGCTCACACTTAGTTGGCTTTGGCTCGCGTGGCACACGTGTTTGCTCATCCGCCGATGCCCAAGGATCTTTGTTGTCCATCTCGCTCATTGCGCGTTCGAATTCAGTAGGGGATTTACCATCGGCTAGGAAGCTCCAACGTATTGGTGATGGCGAGCACGCATATTCGGGCAGATCATTGCTCAACGCATCCTTTGATGTTTGTCGTTCGATGGTCACTTTTGACGGCGAAACCACAATTTTACCGCCACTACCGCGTTTGTCCAAATCGGCGGCATCGATACCCATCTGTTTGGCACGATCAAAAACGGAAGTTAGCGAGCCGGGCTGACTGCTTGGACGGCCAGCGTTTAAGCCACGCAATGAAATCGATGTGTAACTAGGTTGACGCTGGTGCAAACGACGTTTACGCAGCGCAACCGATGCCGACTTAATGGAGTTATTGCGACTGAGCGATGAACGTGAGCCATACAGACTAGTCGAATCGGTCTGATAGCAATAATCCGAAGATGTGCAACACGACGAAGGCCGACGTGTGGAACCATAGAGATCCTCTGCGAAATATTGCGCGAGCTCAGTGCGCGAAGAGTTGCAACAGGTCTTGCGCACCAAGATCTCTTGCACCTCACGATCCACACAGGTTGGATCGTGGCACGTGTTCAGCGAGGTGCTGGATATATCTGTGGCTGAGCGATGACGTCGTGTGCAGCTGCTGCCATGTGTGTGGCTGTGATGTCGATTTGTGGAACGCGGTTCGCTATGCTGGCTATGTCCATGTGGACCATGTAAGCTTGAGTTACCGCTGCCGCCTCCACCTCCTGTATTACCATTACCATTACCATTTCCATTCTGTTGATGACTGTGACGCGAACGTCGGCGTCGATGATTATGCTGATGATGCTGATGTGGATGATGCGTGGATGAGGTTGGCGCATTGCCTGCGGAAGGACGTGGTGGATGCGTTAGGGATGAACGCGGCAGCGAATCGGTTTCGTGCATGTGATGATGCGATTGATGCGGTGATGAGTGCTGGCTGTGCGAGTGATGACTGTGTGGCGATGTGTGGCGACTATGGTGTGGACTGTGGCTGTGCTTGCGTTGCGCTTGGTGGCGGTGTGGCGTCGGTGTGGTGGTGGATTGTTGAAGCGGTTCTGCGTAAGCAATGTGGCTGTGACAGTGAGTTGGCTGGTGCATATATGGCTGATCGCCGTGCTGTTGTTGTTGCTGCTGTTGCTGTTGCAATTGCTGCAGGTGCGCTTGCGTGTCGTCACATACAATATCCTTATCATAGCTACAATGTACGTGATGATGTTGTTGTGACAGCTGCTGTTGCTGTTGGCGTGGTGTTTTCGATTGTGTTGGGTGTTGTTGTTGTTGATGTGGGTATTGGTGTTGTTCAGCATTCGTTGAATGTACACTGGCAGTTTCAGGAGGTGAGGCGTTCCTCAGTCAAGGCCCGCTGTTCGGGCAGACAGGTATTTGCTGACGATGGTGATGGGGCGCAGAGGCACCGCTCCGGCCCTGGAGTGTATTTCGGCCGCCTTCTAAACAACGCTCGGATGCAGCTGCATATGTTGCATAAATGAAAGTGAAAAATTTATCAAAATCTATTTGAACTAATGAACGGAAAGCGTAAAAATACTGATGGTGGAAATAAGTGTGTATGTGTGCGTGTGTATAGAAAAGGTGGCGCAAAGCTTCTTCGAGTAATTCAATGCGCTTTCGAAAAAACTTTGTGGGTGTGTGTGTGTTTAGCTAGAAAGCATTGTGTGTGTGTCCTCTCTGTAAAGCACTTATAAATAACATTTATTTAGTCCTCAGAACTAAGAAGTTGCATGCAAGTTGGAAATATCATGCTAGAAAAATCACATGCCATATCTGGTAATACTATATGAGGGTACCGAGCGATGAAAACTATATTATATCGAATGTCATGCATATACTTTTTAACATATGTATGTGAGATCTGGTTATATCATATTGATCGAATTATATAATGAAAGTGATATAATGACCAGATATTTTTGATGAGTGAACGGTATATGCATGGCAGTGAAGGAAGAAAAAGTAAAATATAAAATTCTTTATTTTTATGTATCGATTTTTTATGATTGTTTGAATTTTCGGTGCCAATCCCACGACGGAGATTTTTATTGAACTTAGATTTGTGTATGGAACACTTAGGTGTCGATAAAACGCTTTAGATCTAACAAAAATCTGTTGAATCTTTACCTCCTTGAAGAAAGTTGTACTCCGGAGCTGTATCTCCAATAATGGAAACCGCCCGGTAAGGGTACATAGTTCTTCCTAAATATTACTGACTTGTTTTGGTTCTGATGATATTAGTATTAAACACGTTTGAATCTTAACAGGTTACATGGGTTTACGGGTTCCAAAAAAGGAATTTTATTTATTGTTTTTTTAAATTCTACAACATTTCTAAAATATGTTTTTAAATTTTCAAGTTGGTCGCTGTAATAGTTTCGGAGATACAGCATGAGGTCTTGTGCGCCCGAGGCTAGCTAGGCTAAGTGTTTCGGAAGTTGGTTGACAAGAGTTCTCAAGAACTACTAAACCGATCTTTATGAAATTTTACACAGGTCTTTGTTATACAATTCTTGAAGACTTGTATGAAGGATTTTTTTTTCGAATACAACTATTTGGAAAACAAAAAGATTAAATTGCGAGATTTTCACTTTTTTGGCCAAATATCTGCCAAAAACCCATTTTCAGTGGATTAAAACACGTGTTTTTTTACTTTGCCACCGCGGGCCTAGCATTTTTCGGAGAACTAATCAGAAATTGCATCATAATGGCCGAGTAAATTTTTTTTTTTTTAATTTCCGAATTCCTTTGTTAACAGTGGATGTATATTTGTAACAATAAAAAAATCTAATAAAATATTTAGTTTTTTCTATGAGATAGAAATTGTTGAAAAAGGACTGTTTATTACCCACCTAACCCTTTAAAATGTATTAGCCAGCTTCTTCATACAGAAAAAGACTCTGGGTCAGGTCAGGTTAGTTGAATTTCAAAAAAATATGTATATCTATATCCTGCAAAGGTATTATATAGCAACAAAATTAACGTTTGGAATCAAGAAAAAACGAAAACTAAATGGCAATTTTCATATGACGAGATATCTTCATGAAATTGCATTCGGAGCAGAAATCATACAGATCGAATCACTATGACAATCTTTTATATTAGTGAAGGGTATTATAGCCTCGGTGCAGTTGATAGTTTTACATAAAACATATAAATTGGCATAAGTTGAGTTCGGATGTGAGCTGGGTTCCTTTAGTTGATATGCTAGGCTTGGGAGTAGGCGATAGTAGAGTTAAAGCTCTACTATTAACTGCTTGCTCAAGAAGTTTGTAATAAATTGTTGTATTCAAAAGTTTCAAAAGCTGAGTTAAGCAATTTTTTTTTCTTTCATTATATACATATACATATGAGCCTTATGAAAGCAAAACACAAATTCATAAAATTGGACTTTTTTACACTCTGATAGGGTAAGCCGTGTGCGTGTAAATAGGATATTTTCACTGTTTCCACTAACTTAGCGGGGTATTGTATGCAAATGCGTGAGTGTACGTGTATGTGTGTGTGTGTGCTTTTGTGTGCATTAGTCTTCTGCGGCTGCTGGTGTCTCTTTGTTATATAAAAATTTTCTTTTGTTTATTTTTTTCATATTGATTTTGCAGTGAGCTTTTGTAATTGTTGTGAACGTGAAAGTACGGCAACTGCAACTGAACGCTACCTGACATCCTGCCGTGCGCCGAATGTCGCCGAAAGCTGTCGCGATCGTACGCATCATACTCATAGTGGCACTTGCGCACCGGCACGGGCGTGTGCATATTCGTGCCATAGTTGGTGTAACAGGTCGTACTGCCGGCCAGACTCGTTGTCGGACCCAGAAGATTGGTGCTATCACTTAGCGGATATGGACCCATACCTTCAACCGTTAATGAGAACGAGGTGGTGCCAAACACTTCTTAGTTAGATATTTGCATTTTTTTTTTTTATAAATGAATCGTTGGAAATTTTCAAATTGCAGTTTGGAGTGGGAAATAATTTCATTGTGTGTGTGTGTTTCAAGTTTTTTAAATTTATTTTTCGAATATTTTTGCACATTTTCAATTATTTTTTATGGTTTTGGTGGTATGTAGCCCATACAATATTCATAGAGTTCCGATTTTAGTTTGTGGTGAATATAATTTCATTGGTGTTTTATTGATGAAAATGTGAGATTGTTTTTTATTTTGTGTTTTTGATTGCAATACGATTTGTGACGTCAGATTGGAGCGTTGTTTTCCGCAGTTACATTTGTTGTTTTTATAATTTTTTAATATATGTATATTTGATTCAATAGTATCGGGTGATTTTTTTGAGGTTAGGATTTTCATGCATTAGTATTTGACAGATCACGTGGGATATCAGACATGGTGTCAAAGAGAAAGATGCTCAGTATGCTTTGACATTTCATCATGAATAGACTTACTAACGAGCAACGCTTGCAAATCATTGAATTTTATTACCAAAATCAGTGTTCGGTTCGAAATGTGTTTCGCGCTTCAGCGATGAGGCTCATTTCTGGTTGAATGGCTACGTAAATAAGCAAAATTGCCGCATTTGGGGTGAAGAGCAACCAGAAGCCGTTCAAGAACTGCCCATGCATCCCGAAAAATGCACTGTTTGGTGTGGTTTATACGCTGGTGGAATCATTGGACCGTATTTTTTCAAAGATGCCGTTGGACGCAACGTTACGGTGAATGGCGATCGCTATCGTTCGATGCTAACAAACTTTTTGTTGCCAAAAATGGAAGAACTGAACTTGGTTGACATGTGGTTTCAACAAGATGGCGCTACATGCCACACAGCTCGCGATTCTATGGCCATTTTGAGGGAAAACTTCGGAGAACAATTCATCTCAAGAAATGGACCCGTAAGTTGGCCACCAAGATCATGCGATTTAACGCCTTTAGACTATTTTTTGTGGGGCTACGTCAAGTCTAAAGTCTACAGAAATAAGCCAGCAACTATTCCAGCTTTGGAAGACAACATTTCCGAAGAAATTCGGGCTATTCCGGCCGAAATGCTCGAAAAAGTTGCCCAAAATTGGACTTTCCGAATGGACCACCTAAGACGCAGCCGCGGTCAACATTTAAATGAAATTATCTTCAAAAAGTAAATGTCATGAACCAATCTAACGTTTCAAATAAAGAACCGATGAGATTTTGCAAATTTTATGCGTTTTTTTTTTTAAAAAAGTTATCAAGCTCTTAAAAAATCACCCGATATAACCCAGTAAGTTTGTGATATCATGCATTTAATATTTTACCGTAAATCAAGTAGTAATGCCAAATTGTTTGAAAAATATGAAGAATAATTAGTCGATATTTACTTTTAATTCATAATAATTAATGAAACAACAGAAAAGTACATTTTTTCTACAACACAAAACACAAGACATGAGACTACATAGATATTTTTTTATTAGAGCATACGAATATAATAAGAAGATAAAGAAAATTCGATGAGAAAAGTTAGTTGAGACCGTGATTTGCCTTTACACTATAGAATTACTGGCACCCGTTTTGTTATTGCAAACCCTCCGACAAATCCTTTTCAATATAATATTGCCTATGATTTTGAAAAATCACATTTTTTTCTCTCCTCTTTCAGGGTTGTGCGCTGAGTTCAGGACCCGCTACATACAAAACCCTACCAATGCAAAGAAGAAAAGAGCATCGGATAGGAGACCACATATTTTATGATGACCCCTGCACATGTTTTAAGCATAACGATTAAAAATCATGCACCGAGATTGTACGGTCCCTTAATGGAAGGTGTCGTCGCTCAGCTGGTTGATGTCCTCTAAGAAATGTGATGAATGGAATAAGGACTGAAGCGAGTAGACCCTTTTAGCATTTACTACAGTGGTCATGGAGCGCAAATTCGGTGTGCGATTCGTGGTGAGAGAGAGACTCCGTCGCCGAGTACTGTCATTCACCCCACCGCAAACTGCATCAAAGCGAAGTTCTTCAACGAATCGCAGCGCTCGGAGCGCACTTATGAGAGCTGCCCTCGCCACGATGTCAAAATCTTACTTGTCGACTTTAACGTCAGGGTCGGTAAGGAAAGTGTCTTTGGCACAATGGTCGGTAAATCCATCCTCCACGAGAAAACATTCCTAAATGCGGCGCCGGTGCCCGAAATATAGTTATCTATGGTACAAGATACCAGTGTTTTAGACGTGCGTACGCTCTGAGGTCCAAAAATCGACTCAGACCACTTTCTTTTTGCAGCCAAGATACGCTCGTCAACTCACTCAAGGAAGGTTTGACGTAGAGAAGCTGTAATAATAATAGACAGTCGAACGATTTTCTACTCGAGAGCACCTTACGTACAGCTGCAAACAAAACCATTGGATTTCGGACAAGTCAAAAGAACAACTGCCGTGTCGCAGCAGAAAGAAAATACGTGAAGGATGGTATAAATGCCGAAGAGAGATAAATAGATAGAAAAGGCGACTCTTTATCGTGTGACTTCTTCAATCTATTGCTGGAGAAAGTTATTCGAGCTGCAGGTCTTCTATAATGGTGTACGGCTGGTGCCCTACGCCGATGATATCATTGGCTTCAACAACCGCATTGTTGTTGTTGTTGTAACGGTATACAACCGCGTCGTTACTTCTGCTTTCTCCTAAATGGATAAGGAAACGAAGCAAATGGGTCTGGCAGTGAACGAGGGCAAGACGAGATATCTCCTGTCATCAAACAAACAGTCGTCGCACTCGCGACTTGACTCTCACGTCACTGTTGACACCCACAACTTCCAAGTCGTAGATAATTTCCTCTATCTTGGAACCAGCATTAACACCACTAACAATCTCAGTTTGGAAATCGAACGCAGAAGAACTGTTGCGAACGGGTGCTATTTAGGAAAGATTAGGCAGCTGAGAAGTAAAGTGCTCTCTCGACGAACAAAGACCAAAATAACAGGTCCCTCATCATTTAATTTCTGCTATATGGTGCAGAGGCATGGACAATGACATCATTTGATGAATCGAAATGAGTTTTAGAAGTGTTTGAGAGAAAGGTTTTGCGGAAGATTTATGATTCCTTCTGCATTGGCAACGGCGATTGTATGAGATATACGACGATATTGACACAGTTCAGCGAATTAAGAGACAGCGGCTACGCTGGCTAGGTCATGTGGAAGGCTTTGAGTATGAAACTGACTTGTATTGTCTCTCTATTTCGCAATATAGTTTAGCAATTCATTTTTTTTCTCAACGAATTTTCTTTCTGAAAATTAAAATGAAATAAACAATTTAAGTTTTAGGTATCATATGAATGAATTTAAACTTTTTTAATAACAGATAGACATACAATGACTTTTAGAAGTTATGATAATGATTACTTTAACGAACTCAGACAATTATACTATAGTATATATATTTATATAAATACGGTTATAATGAATGAATGCAACTAATTTGATAAGTATTCAAAGCGTTCATGAGTGAGTAGTAAAATGACTATAGCACTATGTATGAGCGAATGAATGGTGTGGCAAATTGTTAGTAATGAATTTGTGTAGGCTTCACACGTTGCACGAAAATAAAGTAATCATAAAGAAATTAATTTTGTTAGTAATTAATTATACACGTGACACGTTTACATCTTTACGAATACATTCGGCACAACAACACATTTGTTTTGACTTATGTTTTTTTTTTTTTTTTTTGAGTATAACTAATATATCTCTCTATAGATAAGTACGTATATATGTAAGTAGAAATTGGTTAATTTTTCTTAAGTAAGTGTGGTTATATTTAGTGGATCTTTGTTAATTTGTTAAGTTGATTACTGTGTACACGAACACAAAACGACAAACAATACGGTAAAAAAAAAACGAAACCAACAAATTGGTGAAATTTTAGAAAATTGATTGTTTTGATTCTTACGTGAGTCATGTTGGGTCTTTTCCTCAGATACCATCAATGCGGCATGTTCGATGCCAGAATTCATACTTTGTGGCTCCAAGCTATTTGTGCAGTTTAGCATACTCCTGAAATTCGCACACTCTACGATTATGTTTTAAGTGTATAGGATTTTCTTTTTAAATTTCTAAATTTTGTAAAATTTCAATTGTTATTGCGTTTTTGGATATTCTGTGTTTTTTTTTTCTTTTTTTGTTTTTTGTTCATCACTGTGCTTATAGAAGGAGTACATTTGCTTCACTGTTAGTTTGTGTTGCTGTAAGAATTTACGTGTTTCCCTTTGTTTGCTTTGACTTTGTATTTTGTTGTTGTAAATTGTTGTAAATATGTGTGTAGGGTTTGTTTGGCGCAAATGTTTTTAGTGTATACCTGAGCAATTGTGGAATCTGTGGTGTCTTTTTAATCTTTCAGTTGCTTTTAAGAGGTCTCTCATTCATTTTATAAAATCGTTATGCAAAAGAATGCGTTAAGAAAATTGAGGTTAAATTAAAAATGAAATCAAAACCGTTTTTTTTTTTTAAGAAAGCAAAATTTGTGACACGAAAATGCATAAAATATAATTTTTGATTTATGATAGTTTGATAAATTGCTATTTCTAAAGTTTTGAAAGAAAATTAAATTAATTTTGTTTTTTAATTTTCAATTTATGGTTTTATTTAATTT